GGGTACTTTAAATGGGGAAACTACAGTGGACAATGTGAGAGATAAATAATGCCTTGCTAGCTTAAAACAAACAAACAAACAAACAAACAAACAGAGCAATCCATATTAGTCCAACAACCTACTGAGAAATTATACATACAACTAGCTCAAGGAACAAAATATATGTCTAGTCAAGGTTTATCTGAGAACATTTGGTTTTGGCCAAAGCTTTATCTACATAGCTCATAGTAACTAAAAGTATCAGACTCATGGAACTAACCTTCTTGGATGTTTAAGAGCCATACTTTGAGGCCTATATTAATCTGATCAGAGGGACTTAAAGGACAGTTTTTGCTCCTTGCCCTAAAGGTTGACTAAGCTCCAGGGGACTACGGGGCATCTCTCAAAATGTCCTGTAACTGTGGTGAATCACCTGTCCTCTTGATCAAGGAGCCCATGGAGACCCCACCAGATTGTCTTGAACCAGTGGCCAGTCTACAAAGAGGAAGGTCAACACAGAGGAAACATTTCCTCCATGCTTCCCAAGTGAAGCCAGCCAGGGTTGAGCAGGACCTTTGACTTATCTTCACATAGATGGAACTGGTTAAAGAAAGGAGCCAGGGGCTCCTCCAAAGTACATGTGACCCCTGAGGAACAGATCCTCAAACGGCCTTAAGACTAAAAATAAATTGGTTTATCTGGGCCAACTGTATTGTCTTAAACACCCAAAAGCAAAGTATAACCAAAGATTAAAGGAATCAGTATAATTCTTTAAGAGTCCATGTTTATAGCTAAAGGTTACATAACAAGAAAAAATGCAGACAGGAGATACCGTCCTTTGAGTTTTTGGCCAGTGTGGTCCAAGAGACTCCCAGGGAGTAACCTAGCACAGAACTGGGAAAATGAATAGCAGACACCAATCTTATCTAAAGGAGTATTGGCAACAGCTTGCTGCTAGATGAAGAAGAGCTAATCTTCCTAAAACAAGGGACTCTAGACAGGCTGACTAGACTCTGCAGATGGACAAGCACTGGGGAACGGCTGGGGGCTGGCTGCAGGCGCCAACAACACAGTGGACAATAACAGGGATGACAGAGTGTATGGGCTCCATGGGGGGGGGTAGCTATGTGAGGGTGCCATTTGGGATGCAGGTATGAAAATGAATAAGATTGTTTGAGATGTTCTGTATGAAATACATGCAAAAAAAATCAATAAAAATGAGTTATATTTGAGGAAGAGGCATAAAAATTGCTTTATGTCAATTAGTAGATATGAAAAACATTACATATACATAAATATAACTTTAAAGACTGAAATAATCTTATGTGTTTTATAATTGTGATGAACTAAGTAAGTAATGGGCACATCCAACCACCCTCCTAAATATTGGAATTTAACTAGGATACTTTTAAATACTCCATAAATCAAAGAAGAGAACAGTAGAGAATATTTTTAACTGCATTGTAATTACACTGTAACATCACAACATTTGTATAATGTAATTAATATGCTCAAGAGGGAAATGTGTAACTTTGAATCTTATGAGACTACCTAATAAAGAATGACCTAAGTAAGTACAAATAAAGGATAAAACTAATCTAAAGGAAGAAGAAAATGAAGAGGAGAAATCATTTAAGTAGAAAGTAAGCCGAATAATAAAGAAATGAAATTGGTCTTTTGGAAAGGTCAACAAAACTGATATATCTTTATTAAATATGAACAAGAAAAAAGAGGACACAGACTATTAGTATCACACACATCAAAATCATTAAAAAGAAACATCAAAGTTGATATCTTAACATAAAATAAACAAATTCCCTGATGAATGCAAGTTATCAAATCAGCCATAAAAATGAAACATACAGCAATTCTACCAGGGACTTAAGGAAGAAATAAAAATCTTACAAAAACTTATTTAGAAAATATAAAATGAGAAATACTTCTCAAATCCTGCTACTCAAATATCACTACTAGTATCTGAAAGCCCCCACCCCCCAAAAAAACCACTGCAGATCAAGTTCCTTCCATATGGGACCCAGAAATCCTCAAACACAAATTGAGCCCACTCTGCTTTTGTGGCTGTTTTGGTTTGAGTCTATCAGTATGTGGCTGTTTCGGTCTATGTGTACTACATGTGTAGCTGTTTCAGTATGTGTGTACTACATGTGTGGCTGTTTCAGTCTGTGTGTAATACATATGTGGCTGTTTCATGCTGTGTGTATTACATGTGTGGCTGTTTTGGTCTTTGTGTACAGCATGTGTGGCTGGTTTGTGTGTTTTACACATCATGAACAGGAAGTACTCACCTTAGGAATGCAGGAGTGGCTTAATGTTGGGAAAATGATTTATAACACATCCAACACCATTTTAACTTTGTTATTTTAAAATGTTATGCAATGGACTTATTGCATACATAATATGTAAGGAACAGAAATGTGTACTTTGATCCAAAGTACATTCAAATTTTCAAAATCCTGATTATTACCTGTGTGGACTGAAACAAGTCACACCCCTTCTCCTGTTTATTCACTGCTATGGACATAAATGTGGTGTTAAATTTTTAAGAAAAGGAACTATATAATTTAAAAAATATTTTATTGAGTTTTTGTGCATTTCATAGAATACCTTTTAATCAAACTTAGAAACTCTCCCCCATCTCTGGACCTCAATAGTCCCCCCCAACGGATTTCATGCATTCTGTCATATATGTTAAATCCTATCCAGTCAAGCATTTGTACCTAGATGTTCTTTGGTGCAAGTTCATCCACTGGAGTCTTGTCAGCCTATCTAGAGATCTTAAAACAGATCTATTCTCCCTCATCCAACAGTAATCAATTGCCAAAAGGAACTATCTAATTGTTAGTTTTGTGTTATATATGAAATGCAAAATTACATTTAAGTTCAGTACTAAAATACTGCAGCTTTATTAGACTCTAAGGTTCAAATCTACTTAAGATACTGACTCTGGCTGATTATTATCAAATATAATAGAACACAGTACCATTGAATTTATTATTTTGATGATGATATAAATATATCACCAACAGCCGGGGTTAGGACTTGAAGGACAGGAAGGAAGAATTTCATTGAAAACAAATGGCAAGCGTGCCAAGGGGATTTATTGGGCAGAAGTAGAGGTCAGCTACAGCAAGACACTACCTATCACTCTGTGAGTGTTTATATGGTAGCCAAGTGCTTTCTGCATGTTATTGCATTTGCTTTTCTCGACTTCATAAAAGAAATTATTACCCTGACTTTATGACTGTGAGACTAAGGATTAGTGTTGTTAAATAACTCACTGAAGTTATATAGCTAATAAGTGGCAGAGCTGAGATTTTAAAATATATGCCTCTTTGACTCCAAAATGCAAACTCCTAATAAAAAGGTGAAGACAAAACATTAAAAGTAGGACTAAAATATTAAGACATCTCTGACATGAGTTTATAGGAAAAATACTGGAGTTATATGATAGTCTCTGACGAAAAAAAACTAAAAGACTTAAAATGGGGACACTTTACATGGGGAAACCATGGTGGAAGGGTTAAACAGTGAGAGAGAGAGAGGACAGGTAAATAATGCCTAGTCTTAAAAATCCAGAGGGAACCATATTGGTCCAACAACCTACTGACAAATTATACATAATCTCTACATGAGTCCATACATAACATACATAACAAGAAACAATGCCAGAAAGGTGATACCTTCCTTTGAGTTGTGGGCCAGGGTGGTCAAAGAGACTCTCAAAATTACTTAGGCTATTGTCACAGCCCTCACAGCCCTTGATGGCCTCCCAGAACTTGAAGGCAAGACCCTACTGCCAAAGAGGGAACATAATTTAAGACACAGGATTTGGAGCAATAGAGCTGCAACTGACCTGCAACCACTTTCCCTGAAGGCTAGCTCTCATAACTTTGGAGCATGCTATAAAAATGCCAAGAGAAAACATCAGTGGATGATCCAACACCAGCTACAAGACCAAATAACCACATCAATGGCTAGCACAGCATATATCATTGGTGCAGTAGTGGCACTTTTATATTGGGGGCAATCAACAGCTACCTAATTTGACTAAAAGCCCACTCAAAGGGAGGAAACTCAAGTGTGGTACTGTAAACATAACCTAATACACATAGCTAGAGTGGTCATAGATCTTAGAGAAAAGCCCAAGGCTGTCACATTGCTAGACTAATGCGATTTCTTACTATGTGAAAAATACGTATCCTTATATTTACAGACAAATATTCCAGTCACCACTCATCAAGAAGCTCATTTTGCACCAGTCACACACAGATATTGTCTATGAATTACCCAGGCCTAAGTGACACGTCTACAATGCAACCTCTACACCTAAGGCTCATGGAACATAGAACAGGGATAAACAAGAGGATACTAATGAATCTCTCAGTTCTCAATAATGAAACTCCTTCATGCAGCAGAGGGCCAAGAACACAAAAGGTCACAAATGGCTAAAGTGTAGAGATCAAGAGTCTACTGAATAATGGTCCTCAGACAGAACTCCTTTATTAAACTTCACCCACCCAAGGCTCAGGGACCATCATGGAAGAGGGGGCAAAAAGACTGTAAGACCCAGGGAGGAGGTGCATGACCATATGGAAACTGAGGGGTTAAAAAAAAAATCCAGCCAGGCATGGTGGTGCATGCCTTTAATCCTAGCATTTGGTTGGCAGAATCAGGCAGATTTCTGTGAGATTGAGTTCAGCCTGGTCTACATAGTGAATTCCAAGTCATCTGAGGCTACGAGAAGACCCTGCCTCAAGACAAACAAACCCCCGAACCCTTATAGTTTATGGATGTTTTTAAAAAAATATGCATGACTGGATGTGGGTAGAGAATCTAAGAACTTTAAAAGTCTAAGTACTTCCCTCTATCCTGTTCCCTAAAAGAGAGACACACAGAAATCTTAACTCTCAGCAATTGAAATTGAAGGTGTCACCAGGTTTTACCCCATTGGATAACAGGGAAAATAAACAACAAAAACAAAATTCAGATACATCTCTAACCTGGTTTGTTGCTTGCTTTAGTACTCTTTAAGGGAGCTGGTGGTGTTGGGAGGATCTTTGCAGGTGTGTATGTATTTAAGGAAATTTTTCTTCTCATTAGTGGACTGGAACGTAAAGGAGTAGAGGCTGAAAAGGAATAAAAATTATAATTTAATAACTTCCTACTAGTTCTATCTTAACACTACAGAAACTTTTTAAAAAATTAGTACTGAGAATTGAATCCAGGAGCTCACATGTCTAAGTGCTGGGCCACTGAGTGATATCCCTAGCCCTGTTTCTACTACTTTTTATATTGAGACAGGGTCTCATTAAGGTGCCTGGCTGTAGCCCAGGCTGGCCTTGAGCTTGTGATTCTCTTGTCTCATGTCTCTTAAGAACCTTGAATTATAGGCCTGTGCCATAAGACCAAGTAAGAAAAATTTTCGACATAATTTGGTCACTAAAAATATGCCCAATAATTAGTATAAAGAGTAGTAGAGGGGCTGGAGAGATGGCTCAGCAGTTGAGATCACTGGTTGTTCTTGCAGAACACCTGGGTTTGAATCCTAGCATCCATATAGCAGCTAACAAAGTCCATAACTCCAGTCCCAGGGGATCCGACAGCCTCTTCTGACCTCTGTGGGCATTGCACAACACAGGTGTGTTTACCTACATGCTGGCAATACACACATACACATAAAATAAAAATAATAAATAAAATAAAATAAATAGTAGAAAACAGGCAAGGCAATTCAGCGGAGTCATCTTTCTAATAAAAAGGCAGCTCTCTTGTGGTCTTGCTCAAATAAATATTTACACTGGAAGTATAACATTTTAATAGTACACAGCAAAGGAATGCCAAAGAACAAAGCAACATATTCAATTTATCCTGCTCTGAGGGGCACGTAGAGAGAGAGCAGTGGGCAATGGCATACTTATTGCCTATAACAATCAGTTATAGGCAGAGTTCTAATAACAGATATTCAAGGGATGATTTATTTATAAACACTTTCATCTACGGAAATATCATGGCTAAGAATAAACTGACTACACTTTAAGCACCAAAGTAGATTAGAGTCTCTTTAATGTCCAGCTGAGTGCTAGCTTCATGAAAGGTGAGGGCTGCTCTCCTTCCCATAGTCTGGCTTTCTATTCAAGAGGGAGACACTGAATGGTGCAGAAAGAGTAAGGAAAGAGCTCAGTTCTCAACTATGGAGTCCTCTGGAAAAGACAGGATGGTATGTAGGCAATGAAGGGCACTTGTAGGAACTTCTTAGTTCACTGTTAGCATACTACAGGAAGTCATCTTTAGCTGCCATGGAACTTTTGGATTTTGTCCTCGACGAAGAAAAAAATCTAACACTAGAAGATTTGCAGTGTCTTCTCTGTTGCTATAAATACCACAAAAAAAATCTGTTCTGTGCATTTGAGGCCATTCTATTAGTAAATAGGGGAATTTAGTAAGAATAATATAATATACAGTATTTAGTAAGCATAAAATTCTGCAGTTAATCTATAAGTTATGACATTTAGATACTTTACAACTGGCACTCGGTTTTCTTTAGTTGTCCCAAAAGACCTGGGTGTTAGTTGGATGTTCTCAACAATGTCAACTAAGTTTTTTCCTTTAAATAATTAACTGTCCTCAAAGAAAATCTTAAATATAAAATGTATCAAAGATTACACTCTGAATGAAAAACCCATGAGATATGATCCCCTGCCACTCAGCTTTCTCCTCCTACATGTGGATTTGCAAGAGTCCTTGGGAATATTGTTTAAAGACCAAAGAACTAGTCTACATCGAATTCTGTGAACTGTATTGAATAATATACTTTTTCATCTAGTTTTCTTAATAGCTAATGAAATGTTAAGAAAGATATAAGGATGGAAGTATAATTTGAACCCATGATGTAAAGAAGAGTTAAAAAGATGGTCCAGGACAGGGTTGACACATCAAGATATGAAAGTGGCACTCATTCTAAGAACTATAATAGATATCATTTTATTCTTAGGTATATTTATAGCACCTTAGAAAAGAGAACTACATGCAAAGAAAGTTGGTGATTTTATAAGATGTGACTAGAACAGCTCAAAGAACAATCTCCTATAACTAATACTTCCCAGACTGGAAATTCCAACATGCAGAGGGATGCTATGGAGCTGAAAATGGCATGTGCCAGCTGGACTGCTCCACCTAAGAGTACCCTAAGCATGTCCCAAATGGCATCCCTCAGAGCAGTGCCACATGATGTTTAATGTATTACCAAAATGTTTTACTCTAACAACAAAAAGAAAGTTCCCAAAAATCTGAGTTACATAGGACTCTATAGAACTTTAGCCTTTTAAATGCTAATGTAACGACAAGTCAAAGGGAAACAGGATACAGTAGGTTCCAAAATTTACTTAGCTATGGACTCTTTGTTAATACACATGAATAACCTCTTCAGAACATTTTTTAAGAAATACAATTTGAAGTCAGCCATAGTGGTACACACCTTTAATCCTAGGATTTGGGAGGCAGAAGCAGGCATATCTCTGTGAGACTGAGGCCAGCCTGGTCTCCATAGCAAATTCCAGGCCAGCTGTGTCTCCAGAGAACCAGTCTCAAAAAAGGATGAAAAAAAATACAATTTGAAGAGCTAGAGAGATGGCTCAGTGGTTAAGAGTACCTGGGTTTAGTTCCCAGCACCTAGCAACCATCCATAACTCCAATTCCTAGGAATCTGATGATCTCTTTTATTCCCTGTGGGCTTTGCATGCACAGGTGCACTTACATGCATGTAAAATAAAAATAAATTTTTAAACATTTAAAAAAGAGAAAAATAATTTCAAAGCCTGCTATCCTGATTTGGTGTCTACTTAAGAGCTCTTTCTAAAGCAAGCTACAGTAGCATATGCTTGGGAATTTGAGGTGGGAGGATTATGGTGAGTTCAAAGTCAACCTGGGCTACATAGGAAATCCTGTTACAAAAAGCAAATCAACAACAACGACAACAAAATACCTCTAACAACTTACCAAAAGTGGCCAGGGGGTGGGCACATGTGAGTTCATGTGGACTATTTTGTAAATTATGTAATATGACCGCGAGACTTCTGGCAAATGTTAAAAAGACTATAACTATATGAAACTGCTTACTTTTACTGCTAGAAAAGATTCTGGGATAGAATCAGGAAAAATGCTATATTACATATTGTACCAAAATTACTAATAATATTTCACCTGTCTGTCTTAAAAATCTATTCACTATAACTACTTGAGATTGGATTTTCTATAATTTGTGCCAAATTCAGATAATATCTACTGTCCAATAATTAAATAATAATGAAGGTAGATTTTCATACAAATTTCAGGGATCTTGCGTAGAACTTCGGTTGATGGAGAAGCAATGGAAGCAAGAAAGTCATCCACCTGCTTTAAAGACAGGGCATTGTGAAGAGTTTCTAGAGGACAAATAGACGGCACCATGGAATACAACTCAAAGCCTATAACAGAAAAAAACAATGAAAAGGTAAAGTTGGTTATTTTAAAAAATCAATCATTACAAAGGAAGATGACTATTGTTCAGAACTAGAGAATTTAGGTTTTTACATGCAAACACATAAGATCTTTCAAGTCATGACGCCAGATGCTATGCAACATGGAATAGAAACAGGGTATGATGACAGTCATTGAAAATGTAGTCATGTAGTACAGCATGCACACAACTTCCTTCTATGTTGGTAAACCCCAAGAACAATTAAGGGAGAAAATGTGGGGTGGAGGAGACACAATTCTTCAGTTTTTAGTCTTTTACTGTCAGATCTGTTAAATGGTTAAATAAACTGATGCCAAGATGTGTTCCTGATAGCAGGATGTTACAGCATCCTAATAATTCAGATGATAACTGCTAATGACTAAGTTATAACGAATGTAAACTTTCACACAAATGTTAGGAGTCAAATTATGTAGTTAACTGAGAAGTGTGACTTTAACTTTGTTTCTAGGAGTGCCAAGGCTAATAATCCTCACTAGTGTGATCCCTGAGCAACATTCGTTCACTTATGCTAGAAGTAAAGTTCTACCTACCTTTACTGAACACCAATAATTCTATTTTTGGAAATCATTTAACTGATCTCTAAAGTTAGACCAGGTAAAAAGCAATATAGAGTGCAAATATACCATATCTAACAATGGCACAGGAATACAAAATGTGCATGAATAATCATGCAGCAATGTATTAATATGATCAGTGAAACAAAAGCACTTCATACACAACTTATTTAAAACACAAGTACTGGTTATTTCATCTTTAAAAAAGCAAAGTAGCTATTTAAAGTTTATTCAACAGAATGGCTTTAAAAATTGCTTTTATACACCACTAAAATATTGTGTTTCTATATTTACTCTGCCAAAATTCACACTAAGTCTCCACTGAAGAACTATACCTTCAATTTTTAAATTTACACAAAAATCTAGTATCATTAGTTAGAAAATAAAAATCAACTAAACTCAGACTACAAAAAGGAGTCACCCAATACTTATGTGCTTGATATGATTGGGTGACATTTATTTAAATTTTGAGAGGAAATCAAGAATTGCTGGAATTCTCAGATGTAATAGGGGAACTTTGATTAGAAGGGAACTGAATCTTCTTATGAAAATAACCAAAGGATTAATAAAACTGATGCTTGATTTTCAGGTGCAAACCAAGGTATGACAGAACATTTCATGTTATAAAAGAAAATAAAGCAACCACAAAGTATCATAGCAGCTAAGACACCTCACTTAGTTCAGCACTAAAGAAGCGAAGCTGTAACAACTCTTTTTCTTGACTACAAGGGATTCATGCAAATTAGCGCAAATCCTTTCTTTGCATTACACTAGACAATGTGCTTTTCTCCTTTATTCGGGTGTATATAATATTATTTTGCCATCATTTCCTTCATTTGCCTACTATATTTTCTAACAGGCAAATGACATATGATCCAGTTGTCTGTACAACAGTTTTTCCATCTCTCTGTAATCAACTCTTCAGCGTACAATGAAAGGGTTAGCGCAATTTAAAAAGCCACCCTGCTAAGATGTTCAGAAGCTATAAAAACATACCACCGGAGCCTAGAAATTCCACAGAACCAACGGACCAGCACCTATAGAGGTGTAGGTATTCTGCACAGAGGCCCAGAAAACAAGGTAAAGGACTGTCAGAAGATACTGTTTCACCATGTTCCTTGAACTAAAGATGAAGGCAGGGGTAAGTCCACAATGTGTGTTAAAGACGGAAGTAACATGAAAGTTATGGGAAACAAAAAGTGAGAGGGTCAAGTGACAATTTACAGAACAGATAAGACAACACAACACTAAAAAAAGAAAATCCTGAAAACCCAAAAGAAATACTTCTATAAGGAATATACTTTATATGCATTAATTTGTGTAAATGTAGAAAAGCCACATTTAAAAGAAAAGGCCTATACCAAGGGAATAGGACATTACTTTCTGTTAAATTTAACATGTCTTTATTATTATTATTTTACCTTCCATTAAACATAGAACACTCCCAGACACAGCCTGAAATGCTGGGTTCTAAAGCTTAGGCATTCAGTACAAAAGCTGTAAATCTCTTCATGGAATTTTTGTGGCTTCTGTTTTCCTTTCCACTTCTGTTAATCTTCTAAGAGGTTCTTATGCACATGGTATTTTTAGAAGTTACAGCTGTATCAAAAAAGGACCATTTTCTCCAAAACATAACCTTTAAACAGCTATAGTGAGTGAAAACATGTTAAGCTATTCATTTAAATTGTCACTTGAGGATGAGATTTTTTTTTAACTTAAAAAAAATTTTATTATTTTTGTTTCACTTGTATACATGTATTGCCTGCATGTAGGTAAGTGCACCCGTGTCGTGCAATGTCCAAGGAGGTCAGAAGAGGCTGTGGGATTCCCCTGGGACTGGAGTTACAGACAGTTGTTAGCTGCCATGTGGGTGGTGGGATTCGAACCTAGGTCTTCTTCAGGAACAACCCATGTTCTTAACCCCTGAGCCATCTTTCCAGCCCCAAGGATGAGATTTTTTAAATTCACCTTCAAGAAGTATTGGTGAACTTTTATCTATATGTGTTGTTAAAAGATACCGCCCCCCACAAAAAAAAGATTCCCAAAGGAGAATATAAATGTATGTTGAGTTCTTATGAATTCTTTACAATAGTGAGTTTTTGAAAGACTTATTTGCAGTTATAAATAAAAAAGGTCCCAGGAATAAAAGTATCTGCATTACAATCAAAAGAAAATAACCTGTATGGCGTGTATTGAAAATTTGGGGTGTGTGTGGGGGTGTCCTGAAGTATTTTAAAATGATCAGTTAGGGCTGAGTATGGTGCTTCACACCTTTAATCCCAGCACTCCAGAGGCAGAAAAAGGAGGATCTCTGTAAGATAAGGCCAGCCTGGTCTACACAGCAAGTTCCAGGCTAGCTGCAGCTGCTGGGAGATCCTGTCTCAAAAAGAAAAAAAAAATTAAAGAAAAATAAAATCAAATAATAAAAATCAAATAAAATGATCAGTTAAACAGGATGATGGCTTATGCCTCTAAATCATAGCACTTGGAAGGGCTTAGGCAGAAAGGATTGAAGTAAGTTTGAAGCCAACCTGGTCTATATACTAACTTCTAGGTTAGCCTTGGGCTACAATAAGAGACTGACTCAGATAAAACACCCCAAAACACGCACAACCCAAAAATCAGTAAATATTCCCTCTTGCCCCATAAGAACAAGCTTTAGGTAAGGAGCTGTAATGTTTTAACAATTCAGTTTATAATAATAGTCATACAATACTTTCTTAGTTGGCCTCAGTATTACTTAAGCTGTGAGTATAACTGAGTTTCTGGATTTTAACTTTAGTCTTCTTTCCACCAGGAATTCTCCAAATTTTAAGAAAAAACAAAGGTACCAACGAATTTACTGCTTAGTAAGAGCAAACCAAATTGCCATCCAAGGACAAAGTTGAGGCCTGACAGTTTCCAAAGTAGTTCGTACCTCATCTGCTTTTGTTTTAGACAAGAGCCAGACATAGATGATGTTTGCTACACAGTGAAGTCTGCAATAACTGTTCCCAAGAGCTTTACACAGACATTTGTCATTTGGCTCTTCGATGTGGGTTGCTTTGCATTTTTATGGAATATCTCAATAAAACAATGTGATCAGAAAAAGAATTAGAAAGAAGAAAAATTAAAATCGTTAGGAATTAAGAACAAATTAAAGAATACTAATTGTATTTTAAAAAATCATATAAACTCATCCCCCAAGAAATTAACATTCCGAGGTGCTAATTTAGAATTAAGCTTCATCATTAATGTGGTCATTAAAAAATTTCACGAGTAATATTGAATTAATGTGAAAATCACAGCTGAAAAAGGGGGCAAGACAGTATCAGGAGTTCGGCTAAGTGAGTTGGAATTGTATGCCAACTGGAATTAAGGTAGAGAAGTAATTGGTACTGTATACCCCACATTTTGAAATAAAAGAAAAAAAAATTTAAAGGGATGAAGCAGGGGAGTACCTTTTAAAATAAAATCAAAACGTACCATTGGTTGGGTGTCGAGCAAATGAGATAGAAAACCTTTTAACAGCAGAACCGCGTGTGGCGTCTGAGAAAGAGAAAAACAGGTACCTGAAGTTTGTAACAGCTGCCAAAAGAATACTCAAAACAGAGGGGAAACAAACATGGGAGAAAGCCAGGTATGGTGACATGCAGAAGGAACAATGAGAGAAAGCCAAAGGCTGGTTGCAAGCAGTGAACTGGCTTGACGACAGAAGCAAAACGCTGAAGGAAACATAAAAAGAAAAAGCAGAATGAGCTGGCAATTCCAGTAAATCCATGTCTTGTTAACTAACGTGAATTTGTGGATATAAGAGTAACATTTTTAAATAATGCTGATCCTGAAATAGCCCAAAACCCTCCATTTATCAAAAGGGACAAGTGTTCAGGAGTCTCAAAAGCATCCGGAATATCAAAATATTAAATGAGCTTTTATGATAATAGGATGATCTCCTTGAGGGTACTAATATATTCTCATTCTATATTATTTTTCTAAAACAACTGCTGATATACTTCTCCCATTAATAAACATTCTATTCATATCTATAATTTGCCAATATCAATCAATAAAATGACAGTTAACAATGGACAAAAGTTTAAAGATGAAGGAAAATTTATTCTTCAGACTATGGACCCTCAGTTATCTAAAAAGAATATACATAATGAAGTTCTAAATTTTTCATTTTAAGAAATTTCTTATTGTACAAGTACTGTAGGTCTAATTGCAAGTCATTGTTTGATGAAGCACAGATCCCAGGTGTGGATAACAGAGCACTGTGAGTCATTCAGGAACAGGATGGTAGGATTCCATCCGAATCAGTCTGTGGCCTTAGACTTTTGAGAAATGCTGCCCATGAGTGTGTGCATGGTTGTGGGTATGTATGACCCAGTGTGCATGTGTGCACATACCATCTATGCAGCCGGAAGAGGTCAGCTTTTTACGATGAGTACGAGCATAGTCCTGTAGGTTAGGTGCGCTTGAAGAACCCCCGAGCACTGAGGTGCTAAACAGGCCCGCACAGTGAGTCCCTAATGGGAGTTAGAGAAGATTCATACAACGGGTGTTCTTCCATTCACATTGGGAATGCATGCAGCATGCAGTCAGCAGAGCTCTTACCAACACACAGGCAGCCTTTGGCAGTGCCTTGAACAGACACACATATGACTGTAATGTCCTAGTGATATTGATTATAATACCATGCTTCTAGTACCCAGCACTATTCATCACAAATACAAGTGGGGCGATTGATTTAACACTGGATATGATGCTATCTTTGAGGAATAATATGTCAACACAATAATTAGATATCTACATGCTGAAATACTAAAAACATCACTATGGAAATTAATTTAAGACCAGAATGGGGTGTGATAACCACCTATAAGAGGGATGTATGTATGTATGTATATATATATATATATATGTGTGTGTGCATATATATATATATCCCTCTTTTAGAACAAATTAAGTTACAATCAATAGATATCTTTGTATGCATACTTGAAAAATGAAGAATATTTTCTGATGTCCCTGAATTAAGAATTATCAAAACTTTCTTATGAAAAAGTATATCAAAGCCTATTTATTTGTGAAAATAGGCAAAGTCAATCCTTTTCTGTCAATGAGGCCTAATCCACTTTAAACTTCTAACATTTAACAAGTGACTTAAGATATTAATAAAGGCCTTCAATAAAACCCATCATAAACAAGTATAACACAGCCAGTATAAACTGATGTTAATTTGTAACTAAAGTCTTCACACTTAAAATTTTTACCACTAGGGAATGAGTAAAGGAGTTCTATCAAATATACTACAATAGTTCAAAAAGAGGGAGCAATATATGCTTCCATGAAGATACTCTGAGATTACAAAAGTTCGCAATTAGAGCTAGATGTAATTAACAAAAAGAGCTTCAGGTATACAGGTATCAACAGCTCAAATTCTTATTTCAGAGACTTATTACATATAAAGACATCTAGTTATGCTTTATTAAGTCTATTTAATCACCATTAACAGAAAATTACTATGAGATTGCTTTACATACTTTATCAATGATAAGCTTAAACCCAGTGGGTCTGGGCAGGCATTTCTAATGTTGCTGAGTATTTCTCAAGAAGCGATTCTGTTTGTTTAACAAAGAGTAAGGCTGCAGCTATGCATGAGTTTTGCTTTAGTTTTCCTTAAGAGTTGTTCATAAGGAAAATTAATACACCCTGACAGGGTCTGAAACACTTCTATTTAAAAAATCCTTTTATTTTATTTACTCATGTATCTTCATTCTTTTTAAATTGGCCCCAAAGCTATTATCTTTTGTTTGGTTTATGGTAAACATCAGCTAAAGTTTTACTTTGGAATGTGTGATTAGTTTATTTTATATTAGTGAATATTAACTGTTCAAAGTAAGGAGTTTCATTTCAATGTTCCATAAAAAGAACCTGCATTTGATCCAGTCATACCAGCTCTGGATATATACCCAAAAGAAAATCAGCACTATTTAAAATAACCATATTATAGAATTATCTTAAATTTAAAAAATTGTTAGACAAGGTTATTTTTTGCATGTAATACCATCTTTTCAGTCTTACCTCACTCCAAATCTTTGAAATTGAATTCTTCATAAATTTAACTTATATGATTAGAACCCAGCATTGGCAAGCCAGGCATGGTGACTTAGGAGGCTGAAAGGGAGGGCTGCCACATTTTCAAGGGCAATCAAGGTACAGAATGAGACCTCCTATTTCAACAATAACACCAAAAATAATTTTTTTAAAAGGAGAGAAAATGAAAGGAAGGAAGGAAGGAAGGAAGGAAGGAAGGAAGGAAGGAAGGAAGGAAGGATAAAAATGACTAGTGGTTCCCTCAGCAGGCACTCAAAGGGTTACACACAAAAAATTAAATGCTACTTCCTATATTATGAAAATTTTATTTTAGATTTTGAGTTATATAACTCAAAATTTCTGATTTAATACACATTAAATACAAAGTAAAGCATAGCATTTGGCTATGCTTTTACCAATGAAGGGTTTTGTATGTGTACCTAACAGTAACTTTCAGAAGGGTATAGAATAAACAAATAAATAAAATAAATTTCCTTTATACCACATACCTACAGTGGGGTTCTGCTTCTGTTCCACAAGAGTCCTTGGTGTTCGAAGATAGTTGGCATTTTCAGAAACAACCTGCACAAGGAAAGCAAAATGAGTGAAATAAAACATTAACAAGGATTTAAAAAACCATACTTCATATGCAGCCTGCTCCAGACAGACAAAGGTTAATAAGCTGTATGATAAATATTAGTGGAGATACTCAAAACATGAATGATCATGCAAGTTCCCTTCTGAAGGGAGTCCATTTCATATGAAATCCTTGCAATGAAGTGGTGCGAAGCAGGCATTCAGAATGAAACACCATATATGAAACAAGACAGGTGAAAAGAAACAATTCACAGATTGATATAATTTCACTCTTTCTTTAAAAGAAGCCCATTGCCCATTGTTAAACAGCTCCTGTATTTGAAGGGGGGAAAAACAACCACAAACAAAAGAAATGACAGACAGAGACTTTTGAAGTCACCACAGTTTCTGATCCATGCATGGGCTTTATCAGAGTAACCTTCAAATAGTCACAGCCTTAATGGATACCATAATCCCTTTTCCTATAATCAAATGCTTTATATTTCCAAGAGGAAACTGCCACAACTATGAGAAAAGTCATGTGTGACACCAGACCTTCCAATGGAAAAAAAGAGTATTTTCAGTTTCCTGATGGCATCATAGAAAGTCCTTCTGAAGTCACTTTACTTTAAACCATATTGCTAATGTACACATACATACATGCCCCCTCATCTTAGGAAAACATACTGCATACACCCTTGAGTTACATACTTCCAGATAAGGGAATAATGAGAGAGGGAGAGACCAATCAGTATTAGATATATGTTGCTAATTAAGACCAGGCCATATAATGTCTCATATTTTTAAAATATTTTATTTATTTATGTGTGCAAATGTATTGCTTGGATGTAGGTAAGTGCACCCGTGTTGTGCAATGCCCTTGGAAGACAGAAGAGACTGGTGGATACCCTGGAACTGGAGTTATAGACAGTTGTTAGCTGCCATGTGGGTGCTGGGATTCGAACCTGGGTCTTCTGCAAGAACAGTCAGTGTTCTCAACTGCTGAGCCATCTTTCCAGCTCCAATGTTTCATATTTTTTAAAAATGTTCATTTCTCAGCAAATTGCAAATGAAATGAAACTTTTCAAAAATGTGGTTGGGGATTATCAAATATCCTTAACATGAAATTGTACAATTTTGTTTCTAGCAGTTTTTAGGACAACTAAGGTCAAAGAAAAACTTCTTTTTAAATCATTTTATTAGCATGACAATTAATCCAGGGAAATTATGATTTAAAAAAAAAATCCTGGATATTTGAAACCTTCTCAGTAAAAATGTAAAATACATGCAATGTAAGTGGTTTCTTCCCCTCAAATATTGTCCAATATCAGAAGTATTTTTAAGTAAACTCAAAGTTAAAAAACAGAAGGATTTACTCTGATATAAAATACAAGGGATTAGATGTCCTCAAAGACAGTTGTTTGTTGCTCTGAATGCAGGGAGGAAAAATGTTTAATGAAGTAAAGTTTAAAAACCTGTTGCCATGAGCCAAAAATACTGGATGTGAAAGCCAATGATTTGGGGGAGACAGGGGAAGAGGTGATTTGTTCCCCTGATCTGCGTCTTCGACGCCCAGTACCCACACCACTGGTATAATGCAGCCAGGTACCAGTACCCTCTGGGCTAGACACACTCAGGGGGCTCTCTTCCTAGAAGTGAGAAAAGGGGCAAAAAAAAAAAAAAGAAAAAAAAGAAAAGAAAAAAAAAAAAAAGCAGAGCATGCAAAGTTAGATACCACAGAGCCAAATGATCAGAAAGGAAAAAAAAAAATACAGTTTATTTGCATTTGCTTATCAATTTCTTTTCTTAAAAACAATAAACAGCAATTTGGGAATCAATACTAAAGAATTGATAGGAATGACATAATATACCATCAATTTTATATGATAACAGCTATAGAAATATCTCATTACGTTTAAATATACAAAATATACTACCTACTTATCACTTCTCTCTTAAAATGCGAAAGATCATAATGTTTCTGTTTTAAAACAACTATTTAAAAAAGTATTCTAGTTTATTTTAGATATTAAAAAGATCTGGTGCTATTCTGAGTTGACATTTTAGCTGAATGCACAAAGGGTTAAAGGGATTTCAATATATGTGGAAAAGAAAATAAGTGTGCCACACATTAAAAAAAGTTCAGAGATGGTAAGACGGCAGAAATTCTACATCTTTATACTTTCAAGCTATTTGTTCACCCCACCCCAAAGAATTTATAAAGCTCAGTACGCAAAGCATGCAGCAAACATTCTCATTTTTTATGTTTGTATGTTGAGATTTCAGACAGTGAGGACAGAGCAAAATCTACTTGCACAAAATGAAGAGAATAGTCTTTTTCTTTGAGTGTCTTTTGGAAGTACAAACTTCTGACATCCATGGAGATGGTGCACGCTGGAAAAGGTCTTCAAGTTTTTACTTCAATAATTTACCTTATGGAAGTAAAAGTTTAGCATGGCATAGAAATAATCTCTAAAAATTAACTAAGTATTCATGAGAAAAAGGTTTCAATTCAAGCTCTGCTTTAAGAGTTAACCAGGGCAGTGATTCTGTTGGAGGTTTTATAAATCTAGATGTGCTGCAAAATGAAGACTCAGTATATTTTGCTGTAACAGTAATATATAATATAGATCTTTTAGGGGGCTGAAGGGGAACGCAGAGGGAAGAGTTTGTGAAATTCTGAACAGTTGGACCAACTGCAAATGCTTGGTTTAGATTATAATAGTATAGGTAATTTGTTTTTTTCTAAAATTAAGGATCTCTGAACAAAGCTCGAGATTTCCTGTTTTACAATTAAGCTCTAATATAACAAATGATTTCAAATAACTAACCGCCCTCTTTTTTTAAGGATCAGTCTCTTTTATAATTAAGTCAAAATATATTCAAGGGAACCCTAACATGATTTCTATTATAGAGTCTTTAACTGCTTTATTAGTAGTTTTCTCCTATATGTAATTATCAATTATTTGAAAATTGAGAACTTTTTATATTAGTGTCATAAATGGCTTTGTAGAAAGGAGAACAATTCTTTTTTGTTCCTTATGAACTATCAAATAGTAGACAACATTATACCTAGTTCTATAGACTTGTTACATGCAAACATCAACAAAAAAGTATCTAATTTAAAAGTTATTGGTTCTATTTTGAAGTTAATTTCTTTACATATTTTTGTTAATATTTAGAAAAGATTTATAAGTACTGACTGTAAGCAATTCTAGAAAAAAATTACCCTATAGAAAGTAGATAACTCAGTTTAAAGTTAAAAATATATACAGACATTAAAAATTAAAGCTTTAATTATAACTGTTAAACTTTACTTTTATGTATTATTTAAATCTTATTCCATCAGTGTGAATAAGAATTGGATTAACTTAGTTATAGATCTTACAATAACATTAACAAAATTTCAATTATATCAAACTTCCTACACAGATTTCTGCAATCAGGCTAATAAAACCTACAATGTTACTAGAATCAGGTATCCCTGAAGCATCCCAGGCAAATCTTAGCTACTTTTATCAAAAAAACATTCCTGGAACATTAAACTAGACTTTTAAAGAACCTAATTGAATAACCTATTACAATAAAAGAAAAAAAAACCTGGATTAGTTCATCAAGTGCTTAGAAAGGCCACAATTTCAGATTCATAGTCAATTTTTGTTATGAAAGCTACACATAAAGTTTCAAAGCCTAATACTAATCTAATCTGTATGTTTTCTTATTTATTCATTTATTTTGCAGACAAGGTCTCATGTAGTCCAGTCTGGCCTCAACTAACTGAGTAGCCAAAGATGACTCTGAATCTTTGCATTCCTGATCCTTCTGCCTCCAGCTCCTAAGTGCTAGGATTATGGTTGTGTGCTACCAGGCCTGACTTAATTCCATATGTTTTTAACAGTATCTATATTATTTTTTTGAAATTCATTTGAAAAAATAGACAATGTTAACAATTAACAATTTGTTAGGATTCCAAGCTGCCTGTATAATCAAAGCTGTATTTTCTTTTCAGTTTTATTAATATAGTTAGCTTATTCCACACAAAACATGCTCTGACATGTATGCTTACTTCACTTGTAGTCACCTTCCTAGACCTTGGAAGTGGAGATTTCCTGTGTATATGAATTGGTTCGGATACCATTGGTTTAAACAATATTACAGCTCGATCAACTTCATCTTTCTTAGAAGTATGAGGTTCATCATCATCAATTTTTAGAGATCTTCTGCCTTCATTCTGTAAGAAAATAATATAACATACTTAAAATTTGGATTTAAAGGGTTTCTCCTGAGCCAGGTGGTTGGAACATGCCTAAAGAATCAAGAGTTTGAGGTTACAGAGACAGATGTTTTCTCAACTGCACCCCTCAAGACAAACAAATAAAACCCCAAACATCAGAAACTCTTCTGATAAACAAAGCTAACAATCAACTGATAAATCAATTATAAAAATGTTTACAGCGAATTAATAATTTATTTCTTATAACACCTTAGTATACCCAGTAAAGTGAAAGAGAGGATGAAATCTCTTCAAGAAGCCTACATACTCTAAGGAAAAGTTAAGCATAAAATGCCAATTATAAGCCATATTAAAAAGTATACTGTTAAACAGCTTTGCAAACAGATGAACAATACTAACAAACGGCAATGAAAAACAGATTAGTTTTGTTATACAAGAATGTCATCAACCTCAGCATGAACTAAAACACCAACTGAATTTATAAATTTTAGAATATTTAAATTCTGCTCTAAATATTTCCAATATTATACATATATGTTATATGTGGGAGACAGGCTTGAGCCTAGAGTAGAAGTCCTTATGACTGCCTTACAGCAGCCTGAAGCAATGGCCTGGCCACTGGAGACAAGAGGAATGCCTTGTGACAAACGCTCCAACAGGCAAATCATGAGACTGATACCTAGAGCTCGCCACTTCTCACTCTCCACCCTCTAAATTCCAAAACTCACTTCCAGATAAACGGCTGAGTAACAACAGCCTGGGTCACGTGACTTCCAGGAAACCAAAACCTCAATTAACTGAAACCTACTATGCTAATATAAGGCATCTGGCCTGCTATAATGTGATAAGACGCTAAGCCTGTTATGATAATAAGGTATCCTACTCGCTGTGCTATGATTGGACCGCTACCCCTATATAAGCTTGTGCCTTTTTGCAATAAACCAGATCTGCATCACTGAACCTGGCTCCTGTGTCTGAATGTGGCTCTGCTGACACAGCCTCCTCACCAGCCCTGGGGTCTGGGACTAGACAGAAGTGGTGGCGGTCAAACACAGCGCCGGGCAAACGGAGTGCCGAGCAGGAGAGCAACCACATGCTATATACATTAAAGTCCCCTTAAATACTGTATTATGTACCATGTGCCAGGAACTCAGATGAATGAGATACAGTCTCAGACTGTAAGACTCTTTAGTGTAGAAGGCAGGTAAGTTAAAGTGTTTTAAGCCAATTATCATTTTGTATCAGAATGGATAAGCTGGGTAACAGAGTAAAACACTTGCGATAAAGCACTAGGAATGAACCAACTAAACTAAATGCAATTAATTACATTAACAAAACTTAGAAACATGTTGGACAAAACTGGTCAGACAGAGTACATAAAACTCCATCAAATTACAGGCTATTTGGAATATAAAGAAAGATATTTAACAATACAAGGAGTATCTAAAACTTGACAAAAATGATGGCACAGAATAATAAAAGCCCAAAGACAGAAGTGCCTACCATCATCAAATCTATGCATTCACCAGATGCCATCATCTCATAGTCCGTGCAGTCAGAGGCACAGAAAATTCAAATCAGTATCAGAGAGATGACTGAGCATGTAGTCATCTCTCTTCAAGGGTGAGGAACTGAGTTTGAGCTCCCAGAACGCAGAAGGTGGAAGGAAACTGATTCATTCCCATTCCTGCAAATTGTCCTCTATACACAACATATTCACTGCATATTCACTGTTCCCCACCCCCATCCAAAGCACAAAAGAAACAAATATATATATATATACACACACACGCACATATATATATATATACATATACATATACATATATATAGAAAAAAAATCCAAATGACTATGGCTAAATTGCTGGAATACATGAGAGCATTTAATAAGTTTACTTGTTATAAAACCTTTATACAACAATAAGTTAAAATTCAGTATTACAGTACTAAACAAAGTGAAACTTAAATAAACCCATTTATAACAGTATAAAAAACAAAGAACATAGGAAATAATCTGACAATTTACATTATAAATTATATACCACAATTTTGGACAAAAGATATAAAATAAAGCTAAGCAATTCAGAAATATTTTAGTACTAAAAGATATAATTTTAAAATCCAATCAAATCTTGAAGAACACAACATCAGCTGCAACAAGAAGACTATGATATTGATAGAGACAAATAGGCTAAAGCAGTAACAGTAAATACAAGTTCAGAAATTAAGCCACCAAACAGGAACATATTTGGAATACTAAAAGAGGTACTATAGACAGGAAAAAGGCCATTCATGCATTAAAGAATGGGATGAGGGAGATGACGCCAGATGAAAGATGCAAGAAAGAACAAACAATACAATCTGACATAGACGACAAGCTGTGACACATAACTAGTTTGCTAAGAAAATATATACACATTCTAATTAGAATTTAATACAGTCAATATTCTAAAATATTCTAAGATTCAAAATATAAAAATGAAGTTTCAACAATAATGAGTAGAGTTTAAAGTATATTTTCTAAAACGTAAAATGAAAATACACAACACTAATAAAAAAGATGGGACAGGGAATAAAAACTGTTTTAAGCTACTTACAGTATTTAGTGTACAGCAAAAGTTCTTTTGACCTAACCAAGTTAGGGACTTGTGTTATTAACCAGATGGTAACCATTAAAAGAATACGTATAATTATCAGATATCCCTTGTAGGAGGGATTTCATTTCAAAGAAGACAGTAAGTGGAAAACAAATACAGAACATGTAGAACAAACAGAAAAGTAGAAGGGTAGTTTCAGAGTCTATAATAAATCCCAAATAAATCAAATTATATTTTTATGGACTGTAATAAAGATAAACACTGTGAGACTAGATAATAAATTTAAATATATCTTATGTTAAAGAGACACATTACAATCGAGAAAATTTGAAAGGAAAGGTGTAGAAAAGACATGGAAGGAGAAATCACTTAAATTTCTTGATTATTTCATAAGAGCAGTGAGTACTAACCCAACAGCAGCTGCTACATCATGTGAGTAACTAATGACCCTCATGTGCATGTAGGGGTATTATGCCAGGGGAACAACATGGTCACTAAAACTGTTCTGCATTATGTGATTCAGATGTGGAAACCAAGACAGACTTACATACTAAATATACAAACAAACAAAACAGGACCTTTCATTATTACAAAAGGATGAATTCATAAGGAAGCTAGATCAAAATATGACTAGAAAACACACATAGAAACTGGAGTGCAAGATCAGCAAAGGGGGAACAGAACTCGAGTATATACCAAATATTTTTGACTTATAGCTATTGATGCCTCCTGGTCACATTCTACAATAAGGGTGTAAGAAGAATATATCAGCTTTACCTAGACCTAGAACTAAAGACCCGTTTTAATTGATCACAATCATTTGCATTTCAGGTTAAGAGTTTCAATAGTTACTCAAGCCAATTTCCTCATTGGAAAGAGGCAAAAGCAAACCCTGTTAAATGACTAAAACAACAATTAGAAACTCAAATGTTCTGTGAAATTGTTTGATAACACTTCTTGCTATGTAGCCGAGGCTCTTCTTGTACTCATGATCTCCAGACTTTAGCTCCCTGAAAGCATGGATTACAGGCATACATCACCATGCCCAAACTTCTCTGCAATTTTAATAGTCAGTGTCTAATATAACCTCAGTGTGATTTAGAGTATGAGAAAATGAAGACAAAAATTATTAAAACAAAAACAAAAACAAACAGATTTACTGGTGATCCAGTTAGTGATATTAGCTACAAACTATAATGAAAGCTATTATGGTCAAATAATTAGAAGCAAAACTAATAATGCCAGTTAAGAAGATGAAATTATAAAAAGATACAAATAAAAATAGTCACGTCAAAACCTTAACTAAAGTCTACTTGAGTTCTTAATATTAGAACAAAATAAGTGGAGTTCAATAGCAGATTGAAAAAAAAAAAAAAAACCACGGACAGAATTGGTGAGCCGGAAGAGAAATACAATGAAGTGCTGTGCCTTAAATGTAAAGGAAAAATAAAATAGATAGGAAAGTATAAGAAACACATGGCTAAATGTTTTAAGGTCCATGGTAAGCTGACTGTAAATGTAAGGTAGATAAAAGAATAATGATTTTTTCCCCATATTTACTTTATTGTCTTGGAAAACTAAAACTAGTTTGCTGCAAATATATGAAGCACATTAAAGAAGGGACATGCCTAACATCAAGACTGAGGAATTTTTCTTTATAAGAACATTCCAAGACCCAGATAAATAAAAATACTTCAAGTAATATATAGTAAATAGAATTATTTAAAGAGAGAATGCTTGTAAATGTTCCAAAAACAAAAAATGAAGTTACAGGTATTACAAGCACCATATCAAAGTAAAAAGGTAAAAATGAAGGACAATCAGATGATGTTAGAATGTGGTTAAGAAGATGAAGGAATTAAGATATGGAAAAGGAAACAGTAAGAGACGAAAACACGGGATTGCACTGGCTCTGCACACTGCTTTTGGCAGGATGGCCACTTTCACTGTTAACTCCAGTGGTCCAGGAGCACGGGAGGGCTTTCTGTCTAATGACAAATATCTTTTTAAATTTCCTTCTTTGGTGTCTTAAAATTTTATTAAACTACCCTTTCACTTCCTCGGTTAAATGCATTCTAAGATAGTTTATGTTTTTTGAGGCTATCGTGAATGGGACTGTTTCCGTGGTTATGTGAGCTGGTGGTGTACAGGAAGGCTACTGATTTTTGTGTGTTAATTCTGTATCATGCTACTGTGTTGAATGTCTTTAATTTTTTGATTTATTCATTTTTAGTTTTTATGTATGAGTGTTTTACCTGAATCTAAGTGTATCTGTATATACAATGCCCATGGAGGCCAGAACAGGGCATTGGAATTCCTGGAACTGGAGTTATGAGCAATGGTTAACCCCATGTGGGTGCTGGGAACAGAACCTGGGTCCTCTACAACTGCAGTCAGTGC